CCTATTTGGACTTACGGAGTTGAGCTATGGGGCTCCACTAAACCATCGAATTCCTCTCGCATCCTTACAATCCAAAATCCTTCGTAAAATCCTCAATGCTCCTTACTTTGTCACTAATAAAATTATCCATAAAGATCTTAATGTTCCTTATGTTTCAGATCTGGCCCAATACAGATACCTATCCTTCCATAATAAACTTCAGAATCATCCCAACCCTCTCGTTTCTAACCTTGCTTCCTCTTCAATTCCTGATAACCCTCCGAGGCGTCTGAAAAGAAGATGGCCCCGTGATCTCCTAATGTAGTCATATCATTAGAGTGATACCATTGGGTAGTTACTCAGCAAGTGTATTCATGTCATTATATCAATTATGTCCAAATTTACTTGATGTATTTATGTAATACAGTTGTAAATGTCATAAAGAAATAAAAAAAAAAAAAAGATTTTTTTTTTGTTGGTATATAATATATTTTGTTAAAACTTCTTCAAAACCGAAAATTGAGCAATCATTTAGAAAATTACATTCACCCCTAAAGATAAAGAATATTAAATTGAACTTTATTTCAATATTCGACTTAATTAAATAAATAATTAAGTAACTTATAGTCCATGGTAGAGTCTCATTTTTATTAAGTTATTAACATCCTCCTAAAACTTCGTAAATAGCTTCTTCTCATCATAACCTACAAATTGAATTGAGGAATTGGGTGTTTTCAATCTAGGCATCGGCAAACTTTGTCTACTTAACTAGGTACTAAAAACTCATCAATACCTATTTGCTTTCAACTTGAATCGTAAGATAATACGATCACTAATCGAAAAAAAAAGAGGTAGCTTACAAAAATATTGGGCCGTTTGGTCTATATAACTTCGTTATTTTGACATTTTGGGAATGGAGGTTACGATTTTGTGATCATATTATCTTATGATTCAAATGGAAAGCAAATGAGTTTTTTGTACCTAATTAAATAGACAATCTTAGCCGATTTACAGATTGAAAACGCCGCATTTCAGAGAAATTTCTAAACTAAAATTATTGTAGACTATGATGAGACGAAGCAGTTTACGAAGTTCTAGTTAATAATTTATGTATGTTAATAATTTGATAAAAATGTGTCTCTACCACGAACTATTAACTTTAACAATTGGATGTATTCATTTTATTTTAATTCACTATTACAGTTCAATAATATATTGACCACCGTAAATTATTAAAATGACTGTTCACACATTTGGATTTCAAACCCCAGATCACATGACTTATGAACACTGAATTTTTTCCTCACGTTTTGTTTTAGAACATTTCATAATGTTCATACTCAATTTACAAGAATGGTGAAGATGTGAGAAAAATATACAATTTTTTATACCAACAAAATTTAGATTATTAATTATTGTCTTTTCTTTGCCTAGATTTAGAGGTTATTATTAGTTTTACCCAAATGCGAGACAGAGACGAGTCTTGCAAATTCAGTCTTGATATTGGTCTTGGTCTTGCACAAGAGTCTGGCAACAGACTTGCAGTTACTTATTAGCTCATTACTGTAGAAATATTACTGTAATGTTTTAGATAGGAGAAACCTAATTAAGTCCGAATGAAAAAATAGAAGAGCTAAATGCAAAAGTATATTGGTTGCCTTAGTTTTTATTCAAAAAATCGATTTTGTTTTATCAGTATTGGTCTTGCAACAGTTAGGCGGTCTTGGTCTTGTTCTTGCAAAGTGCAAGTGCAAAGCTGATTTTGGGCAACACTAGTTATTACATACTTGCCGATTACTTTTTTTGTGCAGAATACGGAAAAAATATCTATTATAGTATAAAATGAGTTATTAATAAAGTAATTTAAGTTACAAAAACTAAAAGGGGCTTCCAGTAAAGTAGGCAATATAAATTTTTGATATAAAAAATAAATTTATATTCCTTTTAGGTATTTTTTTTAAAACTCATTTATACGAATTTTCGTAGACATCAAAAATTGAAAATTTTAGTACTTGATTTTCAAGTGAGCTTGTTTTTCCTGCCGACAATTAAAGTATCAAGTCTATATCTAAATGCAACGTTAATACAACCGCTGGAAAGCTAGTTCGGGGCTCTTAGAAAAAAAAGTCAGTTTTAACTGAACTACCTACTGCATACAACCCTCTGAAGAGGACCTGCAAAGTCGGGCCGAAACGTTAGCATAAAATAAAATAGTTTGTTACTATTTTAGTCTTTTTATGGACGCCATCTCGGACCATCTTCTTACTCTTTACTTGGTAATTTTCATTTTACCTAGATGATTTAAGATGATTTTACCTACATTTTCTATTCAATACAATATATTATATATTATATTATTTATATTATATTGTGATATGATAATAATTATTATGGAATAGCAAATGAAGGACAATGTATCCTGCAATAAAAATAATAGAAATAAAATACTCAAAATATTATTAGGCTTATATGAAGCTGGACAAATTGAATATTTATTATGGTAACTAATTGGCAATAAGAATAATTATAATCATGTAATGATATAAATTGGCAATAAGGCTCTATGTGAAATGAAGATTTTTAAAGAAATTAAAAAATTTTCGAACTGTGACCCGAATAATTTGTGGGAATAATTACAAAGTTACATATACACTAACGGCATTCCTAGCTTCCATCTCAGTCACAATCCAGATATTCAAGATATCGGTTGTATTTCGTAAATAACTAGAAGCCATATGGCGAAACAGTAAATATCACAATCTACGGCATATGAAACGAAACTTTTCCCATGTCAAAGAAAATTTTCATCTATGTCCAATAGGCCTGGGAAAGATGTGTTAGTGCCAAATGGTTCCGGTAGATGGCGTGGTACTCTTTGTGTTTTACTCTGCCAGCTTCCGAAGTTCCGAACCATTCCTTCAGCCGATTTTGAAACCAGTCCGCTTGTTTATTTTCACATTCTCCTTTAATTAGATACTTTGAAGCATAATTACAATAATAAAATAAATTAATAAAAAGTACAATAAAATATTTTTTATTTGTATTTATTTATTTAGATATATAACATCCTGTCTCGTGGACAATTATTATAGTGATAAATGAATACATTAACGCCATATATACAGAAAATAAAAAATTAACAAAAATAAAATAATAACTAAATAATAATAAAAAAAGAACTATGCACAATAAATAAAATAAAGAATAAAATATTAGAAAAAAAAGTGTAAATACACTAATACCTGCTATTTTAATCGGTAATTTTTGTTTTTTTTCCAAATTACTTGTAAGAGACAAAATCTATACTATTCTTCAGTGTCTTCTTCGGGAACAAAAATTAAAAAAAAATAAGTAAGCCTTTCTTGAAACATATTTATTTAAAATGTCTTGTTTGTAATACAAACTTTGTATTACTCATTGAAAACTGTGATTTTAAACTAAAATACATATGATTATCCCATTTTTTAAGTCCCACCTTATCTAAATAAATTATGTACTCTTTTAATTGATTATTTATTTTTATATTAAGATAACTCAATGATAAATGGCAAAAATGTTTTAAAAAGAAAAATATTAACCATAATAGCTAAATCCATCAGCTGAAACGATATACAGGGTGTTTGAGTTCTTAATGGCTAGAGTCTGGGAGATGATTCTTGACAAAATTTCCAAAAAAAGTTTATTTCATGAGTCGCCCAATTCTGAACGGAAAGGGGTTAAAACATTTTTTTTTTTAAGTTGGTCTTTTTGTTGAATAAGATAAAATAATTCTAAGAAATCTTTTTTCTTGAAAGGAACCCCACTTCTTCCATTGGTATGGAATGACATATGTAAAGGAATAGATATGTTTTTATAGCTTTTGGTTTATTATTAAGTATACAATTTTTTGTTGAAGTTGCTTACGGGCATTTAAAAGTTTACTAATCCTCATACCAGACTGAAACGACAAGAAACCGCTCGACGCTTCCGACTACTTCAATACTTACTAGACAAACGCTCTAATCTTCCAATTAATTAGAAAAGACGCATATACATGACTATAATAATGCCTATTTGGACTTACGGAGTTGAGCTGTGGGGCTCCACCAAACCTTCAAATTCCTCTCCTATCCAATCCTTACAATCCGAAATGCTTCGTAAAATCCTCTATGCTCCTTACTTTGTTACAAATTAAATCCTCCACAATGACCTTAAGGTTGCTTATTTGGCCCAATCCAGATATCTATAGTTCCATAATAAACTTCATAACCATCCCAACCCTCCCGTTTCTGAACTTGCTTCTTATTCAATTCCTGATAACCCTCCGAGGCGTCAGAAAAGAAGATGGCCCCATGATCTCCTAAACATAGACATATTATTAGAGCGCTACCATTGGGTAATTTCCCAACAAGTGTTTTCACCTTATTATATCCATATGTTCAAATTTACTAAATATATTTCATTAATACAGTTGTAAATACCATTAAAAAATAAATTTGCAAATGGGTTGTTTTAATATGCAATTAAATTTCACGATACATGGAAGAAAATGAATAAGGTTTTAAAGGATTAAGAGCAAATCAATTTTTAACAGAAGGAAATATAAAAGAACTACTTAAATAAACAAGAAATAAATATTTAATTAACAAAACTAAATTATATATGATTTTTTTCAGATTAAACAATAATAACTCAATAATTTATAAATGTATAATTTCATAATTACCCGGTTTATTGCACCTTTTAGAGACTGAATAATAAGGATCTTTGGTTCAGTGATTGATCGATTTTTAAAAAAATTAAATTTACATTTCTTTTATTTTATTGATATATCTTTAATGTTAATTAATGTTTTTATTATATTTTATAATTTTAAAGGAAGGTAGCTATCAACAAAAAAAAAGGTTTTACAAATACTAAATATGATGGAAAAAATTTATAATGGTTAAAAATTAAGTAATAATTTTTTTCTTTTTATAAGTTGGTAAGATATATAAAAAATGGGTAGTTTCTCAACATATGTTTCATGTCATTATATCCCTGTACGAATTTACAAGACTTATTTTGTTTTTTTATACAGTTGTAAATATCTTATAAATAATAATTTTAAAAAAGTTTACGTAATTCCCTAAAAAATAAAAAAGAGTCGTTGAAGTCTGACGATTTGGTGCAAAGATATGATGTTGTAAATATTTTCCATGTGTTATATTGCAAAGCTGAAAGTTTGTAGGTAATTACTGAAGCAGTTTTTTTTTTTTTTTTTTTTTTCTGTAAAGACTGGCGGACAAAAGGATGAAAACATAATTCGTCGGAACCTCATACGGTAATTTTAAATAGAACCATTGAACCTATCTTCGATTTGCTTACCTCGCCCATAATATGCAATAGGTAATTTGTAACGAAAATATAGTATGTATTAATAAACTATCCACACTATTCAGGTTGTCTTAGTTCTTAATATCAAACTCTGGGAGGTGATTCTTAGACAAAATTCCCAACAAAAAATCATTTAATGCATCGTCCGATTCCGAACAAAAAAGAAGTTAAGACCAATTATGTGTTTTTTTAAGATGGTCATGGTTTTTATTTGATAGGAAGGAATTGCTCAAAACTATTGCAGATAATTGAATTCTAAGTTCGCCGTAAATTAGACAAATTCGTAAATTAGAGAAAATGTTTTTGAGAAAACAGTGATTAAATTTACCAAGGCTAATGAAAAAAGGGACTTTCAGGAGTTCTAATAACGCAAAACCTACCATTATGACGAATCATTTCACGAATCGGGATTACAGTTCGAGTATAAGTATTGTAACTACAGCAGTACGGCGGCCGTATTAGATTTCCTAAAAATCGCTTTTATGATTGTCCTTAGTAAATGTAATTAATATTTTCTCAAAAATATTTTGTCTACTTTACGATAGTGCAGTTAGAATTTAATTATCTTGAACAGTATTTTCGCAATTTCTTCTTATTCAGTAAAAATCGTGATCACATTAAAAAAAGGAACACAAAATCGGTCTTAACTCCTTTTTCATTTCGAATCAGTCCAATGAATCAAATGAACTTAATTGTAGGAAATTTTGTCTAGAATCACCACCGTTCTTCCTCCCTCCCAATGTTTGGCCATTAAACTGAGACATCCTGTGTACAGCGATCATCAAGTACTAGTAGTCGGAACCAAGTAAATGGTAAGCTCGAATTGAGCTTACTCTCTTATCTATATCCTCTTCATGTTGATAATTCTGATCAAATGTATGGTTTCCAATGGATTTTCTTCAGTTTCTACAACAAAAACAAAATTAATAAATAAGAAAATAAATAAATAAAATAAAAATATAAAAGCGGTTAAATTAGCTATCTCATTTCGAACCAACGGCATTGAGTCCATTTCAAGTTTCTATAGCTATAAGAAATTCTTTTGTTTTTTATTGATGGATCTGAAAACATATATTTATTATAATTATATTATAAATGGAATGTATTTTAGATAAATATCTAAAAATGTAAAATAAGTTGGCAACATATAAAAAACAAAACAAAAAGAAACACAGAGATAAATTAAATTATTATTATTATCAAATTAGTTTAGCTAAGTAAATGAATAAAACTACATAATAAAAGTTTAATATATTAATGCATTATATAAAATCGATATTATACTAAAATATAAAAATATTAATTCTTATTATATTATATTTATATGTAATATTTCATATTAATAAATTTAGTAGCTTTATTTATTCATTTCATTATTTCACAACAATCTGTTACTTGGACATTAGTTATAGTGAGGTAGCATCACAATTAGTTTTAAATTTTTCAGTTTTATCTCTGCTGATTTTCAATTTCATCACATGCGGTGAAGTAAAAGAAACGTTTTATGGAACTGAAATATTGTTATTAAATCATGAAATGGAATGAGAACTAATTCGGGAACCGAGAACTTATGTAATACTTTTTTTTTATTTCTTCTGTTCATTTTTCCTAAACTTGAGGTTTTATTTTTTACACAAATTAGGCCAATATTCACCAACATTTTATTGATAAGCTATTAATTACGACGTTTCGACCATACTAAGGGCCATTTTCAAGTCTTGATGAGTCCTCCGTTATATATACATTATTAATGTCGCAATAATTTGTTCAGTGAACATTGAATTGTCCTGCTATTTAGGGGTTTCGCCTACGTCATCTACATTTTTTTTTATAGTATGGAATAACAGAAATAGTATTATATTAATATTATATTAGGTTATAAGTAGGTAAATTACATCAAATTATATATATATATATATATATATATATATATATACAAATACAAAGCTATATGTATATAAATATGAAGCTAAGAATAGCGCAATTAAAGAAAATATTAATATTATATCATGTTATAAGTGGATAATGTATAGGTTACTTATATCATATTATAATTATTTATATATATATATATATATATATATATATATATATATATATATATATATATATATATATATATATTTTGTTTGTTTTCATTTTAGGACAAAATGATTGAGCAGGCTTCAAGCATCTATCGCGTCATTAAAGAAAGAAGAAGAATATACATATAAATTTTAAATCATATTAATTAATTATTATTTTTATGAAACTGTTCCTGGTATTTACAAGAAATTGAATTTTTATAGTGTTATCGATGCTTAAAAAAATTATCATTGTATTAATATAACACAATTTTAGAAGCAATTTAGGAATTTATGTATATTAAAAAATATATTATATGTTTGGAGTGCTACCAATGGGTACTTTCTCCTCATGTTGTACATGTCATATTACTTGTTCATATTTACTTGTTGTATTATTATTAATTACAGTTGTAAATTTCGTTAATAAAAAAAAAAATATATTATATGTAAAATATCTTTCATTTGGTCAAAACTAATATGAATCGTTACTTATTTCAGTTTTAAAAAATATTGATATGGTTACGTTTTTAGAGTCACTTGAGGTTAATTGAAAATGACTCCTAAAAGACAAAATATTGATCATCCAAAAATATGGCCTTTACAAAACAATAATTTGAACTTTTCCCATTTCTTCTTTCTGCAATACACTTCCAGAGTACTTAAACAGTGCCGATGGTTCGAAGCCGAAGTACAGTAGAGGCCTTGACCTTCGGCAAGCCGCTTGAAGTCACTATGGCTTTGTGCCCAACTGGTTTCATCACCTGTCGCGCTTCCCATCTGCGGCACCGCCCTCCGACTCCTTCGAATGAGTACGCTGAGCTTCTTTCTTCTTAAGTAATTTTCCTCAGAGGTACGTTCCCTATGTATCAGAGCATACTAAATAATAAATACTTCCAATATATAATGTATAAAATAAACAAGTTAAATAGATTAAGATATCTGCTGTATAGCATTATTTTGTCATGTTTTCAATCCAATCGTATCTTATATCCACCATACTTATATTTCATGGTGGATTTAAGAAGTAAAATCGAATTATTATTATAATAAAATTGTCCTAAAATTTATTTTATTTATTTAATTTATTTGGTGAAATATCTAAACAACTGAAAACCAGAATTTCATAGCACATTCCCAATTGCAAAAACCTAAACTCCACAGCATTAGCATACCATCGTATAAAAACTACAACACAATTTCAATTTTAATAAACACCAAATAATATCCACATCACAAAAAAAACAATAGAATAACAGTGAACTACAAAATAGATAATAAACATTTAGGAACACATTATTGAGACATTATAAACAAAATTAAAATAAAGTTAAGTAAATTTCTTTTTTTTGGACTACATGAATCTTGAAATAAGTTTTACGTCGTAAACCAACGACTTCCTGTCCTACAGTTTCCTTTAACAATACTCCACTTATCCCTGTTGAGCAAATCCGATACCTAGGACTCCACCTGGACAAACGACTAACTTGGAATCCTCATACTAGACTGAAACGACAAGAAACCGCTCGACGTTTCCGATTACTTCAGCACTTACTAGACAAACGCTCTAAACTTCCCATTAATTACAAAAGACTTATATACTTGACTGTAATAAGACCTATTTGGACTTACGGAGGTGAGCTATGGGGCTCCACTTAACCATCGAATTCCTCTCGCATCCAATCCTTACAATCCAAAATCCTTCGTAAAATCCTCAATGCTCCTTACTTTGTCACTAATAAAATTATCCATAAAGATCTTAATGTTCCTTATGTTTCAGATCTGGCCCAATCCAGATACCTATCCTTCCATAATAAACTTCAGAATCATCCCAACCCTCTCGTTTCTAACCTTGCTTCCTCTTCAATTCCTGATAACCCCCCGAGGCTTCTGAAAAGAAGATGGCCCCGTGATCTCCTAATATAGTCATATCATTAGAGTGCTACCATTGGGTAGTTACTCAGCAAGTGTATTCATGTCATTATATCAATTATGTCCAAATTTACTTGATCTATTTATGTAATACAGTTGTAAATGCCATAAAGAAATAAAATAAAAAAAAAAGTTTTAAAAATGTCCACGATCTCAATATTTTCCCTTGCTATTCATTTCGTTTACAGTCAAATGGAAGTAAAAATATATTAATTTACAAATATTTGAATAAATAATTTTATTTTTTTTTTTTTTTTGCTTTCAAGATAGGCGGTCACAATGACACAGACCCTGACATTTTGCGAAACTGGGTCATTTTGACTTTTGAGAATCGCAATAATTTTTCTTAGGGAAAAAGCACCTATAGCTGACAGTGTACCAATACTTGACACCCTCCTCGAAAAATAAAATAATTATTTGGGAATAATAAAATTTCAGAACCTCTAGACCTCTATTTCATATATTTTTAGTGTCTGTATTTTCTCCTTGTACTTTTGCCATCCATTATCTTCGATGAGGTCCTCTCCATTTCTTACACCAATTCCATATCCTCCCCAGCTAGACTCCTTACGTTCCATGTCCCATACTTTGTTGTTCCGAGTTCTCGCCAAGTCATAGTCATGAAAGACAATTCGGTTTTCTTCCTCGCTTTTCATTCAAAGCATGGAAAAGAGGTATGTTAGGAAAATAGAGGAAAGACCAAGAGAGACCGGTTACGTAACACAACGATACGAACTTTACTAAAAATTGAATCCCTCGACCAGATAATAAAGAAAGGTTCGGTCATGTAATGAGGATGGATGACTGCAATTCACAAAAGAAAATTATGGAGGCTAAACCAACGGGAAAACGAAATAGAGGAAGACCAAGATTTACTTGGGAAGATAATCTCAAGAATATTCTTAAAGACAGAGGAATCCGATGGCCGGAAGCCAGGAGAGCAGCCCTCGACAGAGATGTATGGAAACCCTTGTACAAAAATCTCTACACCGAAGGTAGAACATAATATTGAATAAGAAGAAGTTTTTTGCCAGCTGGTCTTCACACCCGAAATAATAAGTGGTAAATTAGGAGGGTCCACATAGTGTTCCAGGAACAACCATCCGTTCGTAAGAGCACCATACTTTAGGATTGACAATTGCTCTTTAACTAATAAGATTTTTCCCAAAATTTTTGTTGATTGTTTTTAAATCATGTTTTATCTGTTTTTAACTTATCTTGAAGAAGGAATTGGATTTTTAATGGATGTCAGCTACTGAAACCTTATAATAGGGACTTTTTCCAGTAGTTAAACGGTCTCTACTCTCATAAATTCAAAGAGATTTACTCAATATAACGGGTCTTATAAATGGAGCCATTCACTACCGTCACGTTAAAAAAGCAATTGCTAATGATTTAGACAAATCAAAAATAGGTTTTCCAATTGCCAAAAACAGATGTCTGACAGTGACCAGCATTCATTGATAAATTTAAGTCTGGAAACGCAAGAAGTTAGTTTTATAATTACTTGAAGATAATTTTTGTTATTCCTGAAATAAATAATATGAAATTCCCCTTAATTACATCCTTTTCCTCATCTGTGTCAGCTATTGAAACATTTAAAATAAAACAGTGACAGATAATGGTACAACAAAACTATTCTCTTCATTTTCATTTTTATAAAATTTAGATAAATATTTCATGGGTTTGAAACATTTCTTGGTAAGGTGAGAATAATTTTTTTGTAATTTCTATGATATATTTTGAATTCGGAGTAGTGGGTGGAGAACGTTTTGTCAACTATTAGGAAAACAACATCTTGATTTCCAAAATTCATTATAAACTTTAGCTTACTAAAAACATAGAAAGCAAGAAAGAAAAGTAAATTTTATTCTGGGACATTAAGTCCATAAGAATAATTATTAACAGAAAGGTGGCATTATAAGAAAATCAAGAAATTAAGTAATATAATAATCTAACCTTAAAATTAAAATCAGGCATAATATTTTAATTAAAAATAAAATATAATAATTATTACATGATTTAGTGGATTCTCTCTGCATATTTTTATTTTTAAGTAGGTTTATGTTATCATAATAATTTCTTGTCTATTTATATTCTTTATAATTTATAAATGATCAGGCGATGGGGATCATCTTTATTTTGTTATATGCCGAAGCATCAACTTATGTTAATTAAAATAACAAAATAAAATTTGTGGGAAGCAAGATCAAATAGTCTATTATAATAAGTTTCTTTAGATAATTATTTTTAAAACTTTGTGATTTTTTTTTTTCTCTTTGAGACCTATTTCCTCATTATCGAATTAATAATTCAAATATTTAATAACTCTAGTTTTTTGTTATCTTAATGCAAAAAATATGATATCGAATGCTTGGAATTCGTAGCCTTTCTTTCATGCGCTAATATTTATAATATTCCTAATTAATAATACATACGAATTTGTATCAATAATATATACTTGTTACTATAAAGTATATATAGATATATATAAATAAAACATGTGTAGGTTAATGATAGAGACAGGTGATGGAAGATAAGAAGAGGGTAGTGAAGATGACCGCTATGTAATGGTTCCTTTCCTCACACCATCATTAGCTGTACTGTTGAGTCTCGTGCGGTTTCCTAGGGCCAAATGCTATACGCAACTTGTTCTATTTCAATTATATTTTGATTTATTTCCTCTTGTTTAGTATCGAAAAGTATTTTTATATTTCTGAGATAGGATGGTTTATTACTCATAAATTAATATAAGGTCTCACAGTATCCTGTTAAGAATCTTGAGGCAGTTCTAGGTGCATAATGGGCATTGTACAAATGCGAGGTTTACCATCATCAAAATAGCACTAAAACGAATGGAAACCTAGCATCTCTAACCACATCCTGACCCGAAAAGAACCCACAAATATTTTGTCAAGAGCATTAAATTAATTTTTACTTTCATTTTTCTATATTTGTCTCTCCTCTTTCTGGGATTGTTGGCTATACGGTTTTGTTTTTTTCCCAGACAGGGGAAAGAGTGGAGTATTAACACCTAAGTATAAAAAAAAGTCCCCGACATCGGGATATGAACTCTTAATCTATTTTTTAAATAGTTCTATCCCAATGCTGTACTCCGATCCACATATTTCCCTGATCCTTGGAAAATATCTATTGTCAAAATGATCCACAAACCCAAAAAGCCACCAGAATATCCATCCTCTTACCGTCCCATCTCTCTGTTACCCATCATGGGAAAAATCCTGGAAAAACTAATCTTAAAACGCCTGTACCTTGCTTCTAATCACATAATCCCAGATCACCAATTTGGATTCCGCTCCTCCCAATCCACTATACAGCAATGCCATCGTGTGGTAGACGTAGTATCCTCTGCATTGGAGCGCGGTATGTACTATACGGGAGCCTTTCTCGATGTTGAACAGGCGTTTGATAGAGTTTGGCACCCGGGACTGCTGTACAAACTCCGAAAATTCCTACCATCTACCTACTTCCTCATTATCCGTTCCTACCTTACTGATAGATACTTTAAAGTAAAACACAACAATGTCTATACATCCCGTTTTTCCCAGTCTGCAGGTGTTCCTCAAGGTAGTATCCTAGGTCCTATCCTTTACACAGTTTATACAGCTGACATCCCAACCCATCCCAACACTGTCATCACCACATATGCTGATGACTCATGTATCCTATCAGTTAATAACGACCCATCTATTGCATCCCAAACCCTGCAATCCCACATCACAAACCTTGAATAATGGTGTCAGAACTGGAGAATTAAAATAAATTCCAATAAATCCCATCAAATTACCTTCACCCTTCGTCGTAAACCAATGACTTCCTGTCCTTCAGTATCCTTTAACAACACCTCACTTATTCCTGTTGAACAAATCCGTTACCTAGGACTCCATTTGGACAAACGTCTAACTTGGAATCCTCATACCAGACTCAAACGACAAGAAACA